GGGGGAGGGGAGATTTTGAAACTTGTGAAATCCACATTGATACCATTGGGCTGCAGGGTTCCCAAGCAGAATATGAGTTGCTGTTCACCTACTCAGTCCCAGTCAGGAAAGGACCCCATGGTGTTGGCCTTTAAGAACTTCATGCATATGCACTAAATACTGCCAAAATATAGCAGATCATTAAAAAAAATCTGAAAAATAAAGATGGGTGATAATATCTTGGATATTCCATCATGTAAAGGATACAAATCCCACAGGTCAGGCATAATTTTCTTTCCTCTTTACAGATACAAATTGACCTACTGAGTGTTTCTAACATTTTATTTGTTTCCTTTTTTTATTTTAAAATATTTACAACCTGAAAATTTAATCTGGATTTACAAGCAAATGGAAAAGCATTGAATGTTAATGCACAATGTCCCAATACTTATTCTGAGCACTTAAACTGTGTATTAGTTCCAACAAGGTGACGATATATGCTCATGAAAATCATACAATATTTTAATGGAGAATCATTTAGATGGAGATCCATATTCTTTATTAACCAGAACTCTCTGCCAGTTTAAAATTGAAAATCTAGCAAAGACGTTTAGAGTGCATCACCATACTCATAAAGCACTTAGTGGATTAAAAATAAACAGCAGACTTGTGACCCATGACAAGCAATATCTGTATGAAATACCGCAGTAATTGTATAGAAATAACAATCATCAAGGGCACAATGTCCCCTAGAAACACTTTAGAAAAATCAGCAGTGATCTGATGCTCCATCCAAATTCCCAGCCGCATCACAATTACATCAATCATTGGCAGCAAAATCCATTACGGAAATATAGCTGTTTTCCCCACTTATTTTAATGAGCAAAATTCCTGTTTCAGAATTGGCAAAGAAATATTTTATTTCAGAATCAATTCAATATATCATGGCAAGCTCATAAGAATTAGATTTACAAGTCTGACGAAATTTGAGATGACAAATCACATTTGACATATCCAATGCTAATATCTAACTTTTGCATTAGGAAAATGGGTACAGGTCTATGCCATTTCTGAAATTTCTGAAATTTCTGATGAAGGGTCTCGACCCAAAATGTCAGCTTTCCTGCTCCTCTGATGCTGCTTGGCCTGCTGTGTTCATCCAGCTCTACACCTTGATATCTCAGATTCTCCAGCAGCGGCAGTTCCTACTATCTCTGTAACAGGTCTATGTCATTCAGGTTCTTAAGCCAGTTCCACCATTCAATGAGATCATTGCTGGTCTTTATCATAACTCCATGAACCTGCTGCGGCTCTATAGCCTTTTTATGTATATCTTTGGCTAGTGAAAATTTATCAATCTTGATATAAAATTATTAATTAAGCAAGAATCTACTGCTTTGTGTGGACAGAAGTTCTAAATTTCTTATCTCCTTTTGCATAATTAAGTGTTTTCCAACTACCCTCTAGCATTGCCCGGCTCTAATGTAAATGTTCAGACCCGTGTCCTAGACTACCCCATCAAAAGAAAAACATTTTATCTACCCTATTAATGTCTTTCAAAATCCTAAATTCCTCAATCAAATCAATTTTTATATTCCAGAGAATACAAACATGGTTTACGTAATCTCTCTTCATAGTGTGATGTGTCAAAATTTGCAGATGACACTAAAATGAGTGGTAGAGCAAAGTGTCCAGAAGACACTGAAAGTCTGCAGAGGGATATAGATAGTCTAAGTGAGTGGGCAAAGGTCTGGCAGATGGAGTACAATGTTGATAAGTGTGAGATCATCCATTTTGGTAGGAATAACAGCAAAATGGACTGTGTTTTAAATGGTAAAAAATTGCAGCACACTGCTGTGCAGAGGGACTTGGGTGTCCTTGTGCATGAATCGCTAAAAGTAGGATTGCAGATGCAGCAGGTAATTAAAAAGGCAAATGGAATTTTGTCTGTCATTGCTAGAGGGATGGAGTTTAAAAACAGGGAGGCTATGCTGCAGCTGTATAGGGTCCTGGTGAGGCCACACCTGGAGTACTGTGTGCAGTTTTGGTCTCCTTACTTGAGAAGGGATATACTAGCACTGGAGGGGGTGCAGAGGAGATTCACTCGGTTGATTCCAGAGTTGAGAGGGTCGGATTATGAGGAGAGACTGAGTAGGCTGGGATTAGACTTTTTGGAATTCAGAAGAATGAGGGGAGATCTTATAGAAACATATAAGGTTATGAAGGGAATAGATAAGGTGGAGGCAGGGAGGTTGTTTCTGCTAGCAGGTGAAACTAGGACTAGGGGGCATCGCTTCAAAATAAAGGGAAGCAGATGTTGGACTGAGGTCAGGAGGAACTTCTTCGCCCAAAGGGTTGTGAATCTGTGGAATTCCCTGCCCAGTGAAGCGGTTGAAGCTATCTCGCTGAATGTGTTTAAGGCAAGTCTAGATAAATTTTTGAAGTGTAAAGGAATTAAAGGTTATGGTGAGTGGGCGGGTAAGTGGAGCTGAGTCTCAAAAAGATCAGCCATGATCTTATTGAATGGCGGGGCAGGCTCGAGGGGCCAGATGGCCTACTCCTGCTTCTAGTTCTTATGTTCTTATGTTTATGTAAGCTATCTTGAAAGCCCTGGCAAAATTCTGGTGAATCTGCATTCAATCCAGAATACATCTAGCCTTTCTAAGGCATGGTTTCCAAAACAATGCACAGTAACCCAGGTGCAGTCTAACCATGGCTTCATACAGCTGTAGCAAAAACTACTTCCCCTTCACACTAATCTATATTACAGCAGGTATGGTTGTTCTCTAAAAAATTAAACACCAAATATCACAGCAATCTAAGCTGCGTTTGAAATTTGTCAGCATCAACTAATCAAACTGGTCAGATGTGGGAAGCAAGACTGCCTTATTCTTTGCTTTAATTGCTTTATTCCACTATTCATTGCACTGAACGTAAGGGACTAATACTTTCAAAGAGGTGTTATTATCTGAAAGTTACAATTATAAATTTGCCACTTGAGTGTTTCTCCTCAAAAATATTTTGTTATAGCAGTGAGCAAGGACAAGGAGGATTAATTGTAGTCAGGCTATTTTTAAAATACAGTAAAAACTTTGAAATAAGCACTGTAGTTATGTGGGCCCCTTCTAAGCATGGTGGTATGCTTGATCAAAGGCAAGCTGCCATGGTGGTATGCTTGATCAAAGGCAACCTGGGTATGTTATAGAGTCATAGAGTAAGACAGCAAAGAAAGAAACCCTTTGTGTCATCGTGTCCATATTGGTCACAGCACCTGTCTACTCTAAACTCAATTCCCACTGGTCCGTAGTCTTGTGTGCCATAATGATTCCAGTGTTCATCTAAATATTCTTGAATATTGCAAATATTTCTGCTTCTACCATCCTTTCAGGCAGTGAGTTTCAGATACTGATCATCATCTGGGTAAAAAAAGCTTACTTAAATCCCCTGTAAACTATCTGCCCCTTACCTTATATCTATTGAATCTTACCTGGTTATGCACCCCTCCACTAAAGGCAAAATGTTTCTCTCTAACTACCCTTTCTATGCCCCTCATAACTTTGTACATCTCAGTCAGGCACCCCCCTCAGCCACCTCTGCTCTAAAAGCATCACTGTCTAACTAGCCTCTCTTCATTGCTGAATTGCTCCAGCCAAGGAAATATCCTGATCAATCACTCCTGCACCCTCTCTCGTGCAATCATATATTTCGTATAACATGGGAACCAAACTCTAGCTAATATTACATTCAGCTCCATCTTAACCTTCATGCTCTGTATCAATGCCTTGACTAATACAGGCAAGTATCCCACATGTCTTCTTAACCACCATATCAACCCTTCCTGCTGCTTTCATAGATCTACAGACATGCACATGGTGGTACCTCTGATCTTCTACAGCATCCTACCATTTATCATGTACTCTCTTGCTTTGTTAATCCAATCAAAATGCATCACCGTGTCATAGAGTCGTGGAGCTGTACAGCATGGAAAAAGATCCTTCAGTCCAACTCGTCCATGTCGACCAGATATCCTAAATAAACCTAATCCACTTGCCAACATTTGGCCCATTTTCCCTCTAAACCCTTCCTATTCATTTACCCATCCAAATGTCTTTTTAAATGTTGATATTGTACCAGCTTCCACCACTTTCTTTGGCAACTCATTCCACTCATGCACCACCCTCTGCATGAAAAAGTTGCCCCTTAGGTCCCTTTTAAATCTTTCCCCCTCACATTAAACCAATGCCCTCTAGTTTTGGACTCTCCCAAGAACAAGACCTTGTCTAATTA